TTATGGTTCCTAGTACAATAACTTATTGCTGGCTTGAATCTTGCAGAGATGGATACACCCAGCACAACGGATATTGTTGATGTTACCATCCAAGGATTTTGGCTCCCCAATGTAAGAGGTAGTATTTATCCCCAGTCAAAGTCAAATTTCGAGGATCTGTCGGGGTAACTTACATATCATTCCCCAGTGGAGCAAGCTTTCTGGAGCAAGTGTCATCTTCTCCCCAATATGGTGCACATGGGAGCGCCAATTATAACTCTTTCATCCCCGTTGATAGAAGATTTTGTTGAGAAGTCCCCAGTGGAGTTGCTATCCCATGATATTTTTCCCCAAGTGAAGACTCCCCCCCTGCGGTGTTATCCCCAGTATGGTCTAAGTAGAATTATTTTTATTTAAGAATTTTTGTACTCCCCAATAGAAGTTATCTTCTTCAAGAAATTCTACGTGAGAAAGTTTCCATCCCCATCAAAGCTCTCCTCTTTCTAATAGAGGATAAAGAATTCGTTCCTCAGGAAGTTGGGAGTTTGACCATAATTCAAGGTTTTCTTTGAACTGAAATTTATTTTTGCAGTATTTCTCTTAGGGAAGTTACTTCCTCAGTGATATTGATTTTTAGAGGTTGGTGGTTCCGAGTCTCGATGCCCCATTGAATTTCAAATTGCCTTTTCTCTACAGAAGATCAGATGTGCGGGAATAATCATTTGGAAGTTCATTGTCTTCTCAGCAGCCGATTATTGACGTGTTTCCCCCAGTGCATTGCTAAACATGCATCATTACATTGCATCTACCAAAATGCATAGCATTTCCATTGTATGGTGCATTACGCTATAAAAAAATTCAAACATGCACGAGTATAAGCCAATTATGTTCACCTGCGGTAACCAGATTGTTATAAGCTCAAATTTGAATTATCTCCACAACAAGCCTAGGGTGATCATATTCTATTTCCCCAGTGGAGTTTGTTTTAATTCACCACCAGTCAGGTCTTTGGTATTTCCCATTTTCCTAGTAAGTCATGGTTTTCTCTTGCCCTTGCAATCCCTTGGTTATTTTACCCATGTTTGCTTTGCTGTTAGAGTACGAGTAAGAGTCAGTGTATAGCCTTTCTTGCTTCTCAAGTATTTGAGTATCCATACTTGGTGTATGGTAATTCAGATAATTTCGAATCTTGAAGAATTACACCCCGCCTTTGGCCTGAGGGATTTTGTAGTTCTTTCTTATTTACCACCTATCAAAATCCCAATGTGTTTTGGCAACTCTTGATAGAGTTCCCTTCAGCTGGTCTCTTTCTCTTGTAGAGTTCACCTTTGACCGATGCTCTTTAAAGGTCCTGCTTAGTTGGTTCCTTGTCTTTGGTTTATCTGAGTTAGCCGAGTTCTCCTTTCATTAGCTTAGCTAACCTTCCCTGTTAAGAGTCCTTCAGTGTCTCTTCAAAGTCCAGTTGTTTGGCGTCCTTGTTTAGGCGAATGTGTCCTTTCTTGTTGGGGCTTTCTTCGGTTAGTCTCGTTCGTGTGTTTGCTATCAACTCCGAACATTTGTTCTTGATGCTCAATTTCGCTTTTGTGTGTCTAACTCTGACCAGACATGCATATCTTTATCCCCCGTGAGTTCACCTTTGATCGGTGTTCTTTTCTTAGGAATCTACCTTAGACATAGTATTCCTTGGTGAAGATTCCCCTTCGACTGGTTTCTTTATCTTGAAGTCCACCTTCGGTTGGTTTCTTTACCCTTAAAATCCACCTTCGACTGGTACCTTTTGTTAAGAGTCACCTTCGGCCGGTCTCTTTTCATTTGGAAGTTCTCCTTTGATTGACGTTCTTTTCTTAGGAATCTACCTTCGGCATAGTATTCCTTGTTAAAGATTCTCCTTCAGCTGGTTTCTTTATCTTGAAGTCCACCTTCGGCTGGCACCCTTAAAATCCACCTTCGGCTGGTACCTTTTTTAAGAGTCCCCTTCAGCTGGTCTCTTTTCATTATAAGTTCACTTTTGATCGGCGTTCTTTTCTTAGGAATCTACCTTTGGCATAGTATTCTTTGTTAAAGATTCCCCTTCAGCTGGTTTCTTTATCTTGAAGTCCACCTTCAGTTGGCACCCTTTAAATCCACCTTCGGCTGGCACCCTTAAAATCCACCTTCGGTTGGTACCTTTTGTTAGAAGTCCTCTTCGGGTGGTCTCTTTTCATTTGTAAGTTCGCCCTTGATCGACACTTTTCACCCTTTAAATCCACCTCCGGTTGGTATCATTTGTCAGGAGTCTTCTTCGGCTGATCTCTTTTTCTTTGTAAGTCTGCCCTTGATCGGTAGTCTTCCCATCCTTAAAATCCACCTTTGGCTGGTACCTTTTGTTAAAAGTCCTCTTCAGTTGGTCTCTTTTCATTTATAAGTGTGCCCTTGATTGGCACTCTTCACCCTTTAAATCCACTTCTGGCTGGTATCATTTGTCAGGAGTCCTCTTCGGATGGTCTCTTTTTCTTTGTAAGTCTTCCTTTGATCGGTAATCTCCCCCCCCCTTTAAATCCACCTACGGCTGGTATCATTTGTTAGGAGTCTCATTCATTTGGTATCTTTTGCTTTATAAGTTCGCCTTTAATCGGTGTTGTATTCAGAGTTAATGTCTATTTGTATCCCCAGTAAGTTCGCCATAGATTGGCGTTCCTTCGTTAGAGCCTTCTTCGGTCGGTCTCTAGTGTATGTCTAACCTTGACCTGACATCCAAGAGATTTACTCAGCTAACTACTACAATAAAAAAAAAGCAAAAAATAAAAATAAAAAATACAGAAAACCAAAATATAATAAAACCTGACTAGCTTCGGAGTGCAAATTTCCGGGTTCTTTTAGTATTTAATCTTCTTCCACCTTGAAAGTTCGAAAGGCCGGCGCCAATCTCACCTTCAGGTTTAAGACGATTAAATAGGGGAAACTGTTGCACCCCAAAATTTTCCCTCCTAAATTTCTTTCATTTGGGCTTAGACTTTTGCATTCATCTACATATATTCTATTAGGTCACTAACATGGCATACATTTCATTTAATATAGCTCTGTGGTTCAAAGTTTAGTGGTTGTGCGATATTAGGGTTTCATAATGGTTAAGGCGTTCGTATCCAATAAAGGGTGATTTCTTCTTCGAGCATTGAGTAGTAGAATTAGGGATGTGGTCATTAAGAATCTCTTCTTTGTGAATCTATAAGGCCAATCTCCACCCAGTTTCATCAGTTCTAGAGATTAGGTTTTATTTCACTATATATCTCGTGGAATCAGGGTTTTATCACATGGATGTCTTTCTATGCTCCCAGTTTCGTCTGAGTCAAAAGATTTCCTCAAGGGCATTAATGTGTGTTGAGGTCATTGGTTTGTAGGTTACTTGTTGAGCGAGGCTTGAAGATAAATTCATTTGAAATTTAAAGTGCAAACTATAGCTTGAGAAATGGGCTTGTGATTTCTTTGAGCTAAAACGACTTGTGTTGCTTGATTTGGATATGTTCTTTGAGAAATGAAGTGGGTTTCAAGACTAATCGAATGTCATCAACCGTTTTGGTCATTAAATTGTTAAAAAGGTCATTTCATGAAGATTGGAAAGCAAAGGCGTGTGGATTATTTAGAGATGAAGTTACAAGTCACAAAGTTCAACATACATCATTGATTCATTCATAATTCATCATCGTTGTTTGAATTTTTCATATCATTCATCATTTACGTCATTTAAGTTCAACATCTCAACATTCAATATTCAATGCTCACTCAAAGGTTCATGATCATTCAACCATAATTTTTCTAAGCATCATGCAAAGATTTTCAAGCAATTTATCTCAAATTTACAAATTTGTATTCATTCCAATTCTGTCACAAATTACATTCCAATTTCCATCCATTACAGAATTACAAAATCGAGAACTAGAACATGTTCACTTTCAATCACATTCGAAAGTCCATCGCATGGTACATTTCTACAAGGTTCAATTGGAATAATATTAAATACATCACAAAACTCAAAATTTGCAATTTATCCTACATCTTCAATTCGTTTCCTCTTCAAAAGATTATCTTTGTGCCTAAGCTCTCATCATAACCAAGATGCAACTTTGCTTGTGCGCTTTCAAATGCTTCATGTCCATAATTCAAGCTATGTCGTGTCCTTGCTGATATGTTCATCTAATTAGCCATGTTAACACCTTGTACTCATGTTAACATCAACATGACCATGACCTTCACATTAACACAAAGAACAAATGCAATTAACCTTTAACCAAAACTAGTCCAACATCAAAACAACCCTTCATCTAACTATGACCCAAACCATTCATAAAAACCAATTCAGCCTGCGCCAATTATCCAAAAATCCAATCAATGCATTTGAACAGTGCAACAAATTCAGTTTAAAATGCCTACAAATCAGCACATCATCAAGCTATTCTAAGTATGAATAGTAAATGCAGAAAAAACTATCAATTCAAGACGAATAAAAACAGAAAAACTCACCATCACATTCATTCTTCATTCTCCTCAGAGGAGTCACCAAAAACCAGAAAATTCTCCAATCTTTCTCTCTGAGAAATTCTCTGCAATCTTTATATTCAACCTTCAATGTTCAACAATCTCTTGTTGTTCCTCAATCATCATCATCATCCTCGTGACTTCGCAGCGCAATGTCAATACTACAACTTCTTTAATCCTCCTAAATCAGCATCATCTTCATCGCCAATCTCCACGTGTTATCAATAACGGATTACCACAAACGCAAAACACAACAACCAGTTCAAAAACACATAAGCAATTCGCGTTCAAAAGAAGGCGTAAAAGAAAATAGACCTCGAGAACGTACCTGCATTTGCGGCTCTTCTTCATACATCTTCATCATCAAAGGTACGATTCCTCTGGTGTTTTTATCGTGTTTTTGATGCGAGACCATAAAGCAGAATATGATGAACAAAATCCCTAACAAATCATGGCTGGAATCTGCTGTAAGCCAGCCGAAGGAGAAGTCTAGGAAGCTTATTCACAGATCAATAAAGAGATGAATTAAGAGAGATAAGACGGTCTTTTGCGGTGGCCAGACGTTGATGTTTGATCAGAGCTGTGACTGGAGCAAGGGGAAGGTATAACCGATGTAAAAGAAGGAGGAGGGATGATGAATGTATGCTTGTAGTCGTCGGACTAAGAAATATGGAGGCAGAGAAAAACTTGATAACATTGCATTTGGTTTGAACGGAGAAGAAGGGTATGTGAACTGGACCGAAACACCACCCAAGATGGAGCCCAATATGTAATTTTTTGCATTGTGATGTTTGAAGAAGAAATAATTGTTTGGACTGAGTTGATGGGCTTGCAGCGCCTGAGCTTGCTACACCACTGCTTGCCATTTGCACCCCCCGACCCATTACTCTTTTTTTGGCATAATTGGTAGCCTCAACAAAAACTGGTTGGACTTCATTGTTAATGGGCCTGCAGCGCCTAAACCATTCCAACACCTCCTGCTTACAGATTGAACCCCTTGAGTTTATTCTTTTAGTATTTTCTTTTAAATAATTTTGCGAATTGTTTAGATTTGCTTGAGCTTTTTTCTTTTACATGATAAAAATAATAAAGTCAAATATAAAAATTTGTTAGATCTTTTTTATATGATTTTAGGAATTAAATCTCGATTATTCGATTATATTTGAGATTGGTAGTTCACCTTTGCTTGTTGATATGCGAGTCTTACGCAAGTTTATTGTGCAATATGTGGAGGCGCTTGAGATTTCGATTGTGATTTATTTTCACATCGATGATGCGTCGATATTTAATCTGAGCATTTGATTTCTAACTCTTTTCTTTGATTGGTGAAGCTTACTTGAAGTTTTCCAGATTTCTCTGTTTTTGCTTGCTTTTCTACGGATTGATATCCGTTTGATATTTTCTCTTGTTTATCTCATGTCGCACTTTACTGCTTTCCAGATATCATGAGAAGTAGGAAATAAAGAGTGTGCGCTCGAAGTCGCTGTTTAAAGACATATAGTAGGCATTCCGCACTTTATTTTCTATAGATGTTGTGCTTGCTTTTGTTTCCTTGGTTTTTGATCTATGAGTCACTCAATTTAGAAATTGAGATCACGAATTTGCTCTCAGTGCATGCTCTCTATAGGATTTTATCACTTTCCTTGATTTCTTGTTGATCGATGAGTCACTCAATTTAGGAATTGAGATCACGACTTCGCTCTCATTGCATATTTCCTATAGGATAGTTTTTGTTAGACTTTCTTTGGCATGCTATCCTAGATAGGACCCCTCTAGGTGTGCTCTCTTGAGCCTTTTAATTGTTGATTTCTTTACCTACTTTGATCTTCTATATCATGGTTAGGCATTTGACTTGAGTTAGCATGAGTTGCTCATGACATATTATGTGTGTTCTCTTGAATTTATTGGCTTGCTTGCTTGATTTCATCCTCGCGTGCATGCTTTGATATGATTTAACCTCGGTATGTTACCTTAGAAGCTCTCGATTCACCTATAGATGATGTTTTGAGATATACATAGTTTTAGGTGATAGACCCTTGCTATGCTCCTTTAGGACTTCTTGAGTCATCTATAGATGATGATTTGAGATAGACATTAGGATTGTTATCCAAACATGTCAACATAGGGTAGAGATTTCCCTTCAAAACTCAAATTTAGGATCAATCATTGTATGATAACATTAAGGATAGATTTAGGTTAGTCTTCCTTAGATGTTTTTTTCTTTCTTTTGCACCCTTGTATTACAACAAAAACTTCTTTTTCTTGCAAACTTCAAAACACCTAAAAATTACTGATGAGAATTATACCTTTGTTGAGCATGATAGATAATAAGCGGGTTTCTTCTCGATCTTATCGTCCTTCCATTCTAAGCCTTGATGTGGTTCAAGTCTCAAAGACTTATTTTATGAATAAATAGAGAAATGGCTAATATCTCTCTCTTGAGATTAACTAGCTGTTATCCATAGTAAAAATACCAATCAACGCAAACTCTTTTGTGTCTTCGGGTTCTTCTTTCAAACTTTTTTCAGAAGAACATGTTAATTCACTTATGTGCTGAAGCGTAAGCCTCCAAAGGTCGAGTTGCGGCAGAAAACGAAATTAATATTGTTCATTAAAAAATGCAAACCAACAAAAACTTTTGAAGCCGAACTACGGCTGCTCTGATTCCTTAAAAGGGATACGTAGGCTTTGGGATAGGGCCCGAACGAGCATAACTTTTATTTTTCCTACATTCTTTTCTCCTTTCTTTTGTATACATTCCATGTACAGCTTAGACATATATTCTTACACACCCATTAGATTAGAACAACATGAGTGGATACCGTAGAGTACTACAGGCGTTTGGGGTGCTAATACCTTCCCCTCGCGTAACAGACTCCCTTACCCGATCTCTTGGTTGCAAGAATGTGACTTCTCCCTTCTTAGGTTTTCTCGATATTTACCTTTCCCTTTCGGTGAGATAAAATACGTTCAGTGGCGACTTCATTGATTTTATTATCAGTTAATTGTTTAGCCGGTTGTTTCAGCTTATTTCAAACCATACAAGCCCTTCTTTAATATGCACACCATGTTAAGTTTCCCTTCCTCTGAGAAACCTTTAGGTTAATGGATGTAGATCTCCTCATATAAGTCTCTGTAAAGAAACATAATCTTCACATCCAATTTCTCAAGGTAGAGTTCTTTTTTGTCTACAATACTTAGGATATACCTAATAGTATTGAGATTCACAATTGGAGGAAAACTTACAGTGTAGTCAATTCTTTTTTTTGGTTGAAATCCCTTGACAACTAGTTGGTCCTCCTTCAACCGATACACCCATTTCCCTTGAAGTTCCTTCTTCACCATAGGTAACTCAACTAGTTTCCATGTATGGTTGGAGATCAAAGACTTCATCTCATCTTCCATAGAAAGTTGCTACTTGCTAGAATCTTTGGTCTGGTATGCTTCTTCATAATCATCATGCTCCCCTTTGTTAGTCAACAACTTTTAGTCCATGTATCTCACATGAGACCTAGAATACCTTCTCAATAGAGGAGTTGGATTATGAGTCTCAGATACATCAGATTGTTGCTCACTTCCTTGTTTAGTTGATTTCTTTGACTAAGAATTCTCAACTATAGGACTTTTTGAGACATCATCCACTTCTGCAAAAACTGGCCCATTCAGTTCTGAGTTATAGATACATGTTGTTGTACCCCAAAATTTTCCCTCTCATTTTCTCAAGATTTCTCTCGCAAGATGTCCATTGGCTCAAGAATGCACAAGGATGGATCAACTCAAGATACCTCCTCAAGTACTGGTGACTCAAAATTAGGGTTTGAGTTTGCACAAGTAAAATTGGACTTTTAATGCTTCATATGAATTTCATGGATCATTTTGGACTCTCAAGATTTCTCATGTCAAGTTTCAAGCTTTGGATCACATTTTTGCTCAGTCAATTAATCAATTGACCTAAAATCAACTGTATTGGGCAAAAAGTCAATTATGGTCAATTTAAAGTCAAACTTCATAATTTTTTATCCATATAAAAATTTTGAACTCATATATGTCAATTGATCAAGTTTAAATCACAATTCCTCAAGAAATTTAATCAGATCACAAAAAGGGCAAAATGGTTAAAATTAGGGTTTTGACTGAGAAGGCTCAATTTTTGACTTTTGACTAAATACATGACTTATTGGTTTGAGACATGATATCAAGGATTCAAATGAATCATCTTTACCTAATGTCATGGTTCAAAACACTTCTCAAGATTAATTGATTGATAGTTGAAATTTGGTCAATTGATGAAAAGTCAACTATACATTGAAAAGTCAAACTTTGACTTTTTGATCAAAATCAAGTTTCAAAAATTATATTTCATCAAGACATATCAAAATATGAATATTTTTCATCAAGAAATAAAAAAAGTCAAAATCATATTTGAAAAGTCAAAATTCTAAGACTTAGAAATTTCTCTAAGTATTAGAAAGTTAACTTTTTTTCATGACTTTGTGCCAAATTTTCACCATGATGCAAGATGATTCAAGGAAAACTTTCAACATGAAAGTTGTAGATCTCAATGAGATCTAAAACAATATATGGCAGGACTTTTTCTAGAAATGCTTGAATTTTAAGTTATAAATTCATGAAGTCATGGCATTTTTGATTAAACACTTAGAGAAATTTTCAGCAGGTTTGGTTAGGTTTTTATCCCAACTTCTTGACCAATTTTCATTAAGTTCCAGTTTTATTTAATAAAAGTGGAAAACATGAAAGTTGTAGAGGATTTTTCAAGCTTTCCAAAACATCCAAGAGCATGAATTTATCATACTTGAGCTAGGAGATTCAAGGGCCTGAAGTTGGACATCCATTCTTGAATTGCAAGTCATTTTGTTGAAGAATAAATAATACAATTTGCATGATGTGCTGCATAAATTTACTTTTCTGGCCTTGTAACTTGCAAATCTATCCATAATCAGATGTTTACACAATTGATTAAACCATTATCCAAGTGATTCAAGTATTATCCATTTCATCATTCCATTTATGGAACAAAGGCACCATTGCCATTCACATAAAGCATGCTTTATACAAAGTAAGCTCTCCTTGAGCCTCTCAACTGTTTTTTCTACACACACAATGTCAAAGCAAGAAGCAACATGCCTAGAAGCTCCTAGCAACTTCAGGCCATGCTTGTACCATGCATTGGAACACCAATTTTCATGATAACTTGGTTGTTTCATCTCAACCAAACCAAAATTCTCTTAAACCTTCTCTATAAATAGACAGACCAATTGCAAGAGAAAGAGGTAAGAAAAATGGAGAAAAAAGCCAGAAGTTTTGTTGTGTAGACAAGCCCTCAAAATCCCATACTCTCAAAAAACCATAATTGTCCACAAAGCTGCCACTCTTGAGCTTTGAAATCCAAATCCTTGAATCCTTCATACCTTACAAGTTTTGTCCAAACAAACCATATAAATACCGTACGTACATCCTATAGAGGTTGTTCAAACTCAAACACAACTTCTGTAACATCTTTATTTCTCCAAGCTCAAGAATACTCAAGGCAACAACTCAAGCTCAAAACACAAATTCCAGCTTCAAGATAAGTCTCCTTGACTTTAAACCCTTCATTTCAAGCATCATTAGTTGATTCATCTTTGAAGATAAATGTAATAATCCTTCCCCTTGAAGCTAACCTTTGTTTTGCCTTCAATTCTTGTCATTTATGTGTTGAGAACTAACCCCTGCGTGCAACAAAACAATGTTGAAGTAAAAAAAATCACTATATGAGTCGACACATACCTGTATGAGTCGACACGTCTTAGTGGAAAAACAGGCTATGAGTCGACACGAAGCATCATAAGTCGACACATACTGCTATAAGAGGCACGAAACAGAA